AAAAAAAAAAAAAAAAAAAAAGAGGGCTTCCAGAAAATGCCTTGGTAATTCTGAGAAAGAATTGTGTTTTTTTCATCTGGGCAAATCAGGAAGGTTTAACAGAGGAAGTGAATTAAGCTTTAAAGGACAAGTAGGACTTAAATATATGGGGAAACATTCCTTTCTGCTGAAAGAGTTTTCATAAAGTTTACTAAACACGAGTGGCATTTTCCCTCACCTGCCAACCTGTCTTTCCCTTTTCATGTGACCTTAATAGTGGAGTAAAAGGTAAATTTAAGGTTAAGGCTAGGGCAGAATATGACAGTATAATTTCCTTTTGTGATTCTGACGCTAGATTTGTTTTGGATCTGTATCCAGCACTAGTGGTCAAAATTTCCCTCTAGAAGAAAAAGAAGTTTCCTCCTGCATTTGCCTTGTGAAGGGCTAGTTTGTGCCTAAGCTGCTCCCTCTGTCACCAGTAATCCATGGCAGTGGTGCATTAGATTCGCATTCCCCTCACGGCTTCTGTCGTGCTCTTTCTGCTTCACGGTACCTGGTTGCACGTGCTAGGCAGCAGCTGCTGAGACGTCCTGTTGTCATTTCCCCTCATCTGCCTAACTCAGAACTCTATTTCGGTAAAATCTGAGCGCTGCTGGTGCACTGACTGGCTGCATTCTCGCTGTTAGCCATCCTGTCCTGCTACTTAATGCCAACATTAGGAAACATCCTAAAATGAGGGAATAGAAGCGTTGCGTGAAAGGCATCATTATTCTGTAGTACAAGAACAACTCCTCTGCATTCTGACAGCATCATTTTTCAGTCACATCATGTTGATCTATGTGCCCTGAACAGATATGTATCATTCCCTCCCCTTTCTTTTCAGACCGAGCTAATAGATCTGTCTACGGTAGATGTGATCCTCATCTCTAACTACCACTGCATGATGGCACTGCCCTACATCACTGAGCACACTGGTTTCACAGGCACAGTGTATGCCACAGAGCCCACCGTCCAGATTGGCAGGTGAGAGTATTTATTCTCCCAGCAGAAAGTGGCTGAAGAACTCCTTCCTTCCTTGGTGACCATTTAACAGAATGTTGTGCCAAGAGTGATTGGTGTTTCCTTCTGAGCAGCTAACCCAGAAGTAGAATTGGTGTGAGTAGACTACTCTCCACAAATAAAACAAGCATTCATTGGAATTGCCTCAAGATTAATGCAGCAAGTAGTCTCAGTCTTTTGTTTGGTTTTTTGAAACAAAGAGTGGAAGAAGGTGTTCGCAGAGACAGGTCCTCTGTGCAGATGACCCTAATTAGGGGAGGTAACGTTGAGTAAGATGTCACAAAGATGTAATGCAAAGAGCTTCAGGAGAAAGGAGCATAGCCCATTGAAGAAAAGAAGAGATCGTATTACTTTGCTTTCAGAATTTCCTCCCTGTATGATTTAGCACAGACTGTAAATGGAGACAGCTTGTAGAAAACAGGATAAGTAATTAGATGGTTAAGTTGACTGTACTTGTGACAGGGTGAAACTCAGAGCTCTAAGGAGTAAAAGGAGCCTGCCTTTGTCTCTGAGAATGCTCTGCTGTCTCTTCCTCTGCCCCTCCCAAGCCTTCATGATGCAAGTGGTTGCTGCCAGTACCTATAGCATCATTTAGTGAGAGAAAAATCACGTGAAGAAAATTACCTACCCCAGAAAAAAGAATTATGTTGAAGCAGACTAACAAGTATGGTATAAAGTGAAACTAGCAAGACTCAAAATACAGGATCGAGGTGTTGATACAGACTCTTAGCTTCGGGTTCCAGTGTCTTGCAAAAGTACAAGATGGAATTACCAGAAAGAAACCAAATGTGTCCTTGTTTTTTGTGTCCGCTCACGTTAAAGAACATTTCATGTGTACAGGAGAAGCCTGGAGATCTGAGGAAGGGACATTATAGGAAAGGCAAACACATGGTGGTGGATCACTGATAATGAGAGGATAAGCTGAAAACATCAGACTCTACTCTGAAAAGGTTAAAGCATGAGGAAGGACACGCCAGACTGTTCTCCAGGAACTCCAGCCAGAACGATAATGTGCCTGGGTCCCAGATCTTTGAATGTGCTAGAACTAGTGCTGCTCCTTGAAGATGAAAGGAGATGGGATGGGGAATAAATAAATCGATGGAAATGAAATGAAGTTGTTCAACGTTCAAGTGCTAGTAAAACTATAGCCTACCGTATCTCTATGTTGATTGGGAGAGGATTTGAGTCAATATGGGTCCTCTCTACTGCGTTCTGAAAGGGGAGTCAAGATGTTGAAAATCTTTTTCTCGCATTTTGGTCATCCTCTAGTCATCCAGGATTCTCACAGGTCTCTGCCATGTACTTCTCAGAGCACATTGCATCATCGATCCACTCGAGTAAAGCATTTCTTAGGTTCCCCTCTGTTGTGATTTTGTGGTAATCTATCTCATGATCTGCACACAGAACCTGTCCTTTTGCAAGTCTTGAGTTAGGCTTTTAGGATTAATTCTTAAGAGTATTCTTCCATGTGGAATTTTGTACATTCCCAAAACGCATGTCAAGAAAACGTGCTTTTCCAGTGTAAAATTTCCACTTAATATTGTCGTTAAAAAAACAATCCTACCCTACCCCTGCTGCCACCAAAATCAGGTACTTCACAGTCATTTGGCTTTTCCTCCTTTCATATTTTTAGTTCCATTAAGGCAGAGATCTTAAGAATGAGAGCTAAACCATGGGCTTGTATATTTCAGTGTCCAAAGATAAGATACATGCCAGGCTTGTTTTAAAGGTGAATTAAATCATTTATGTTCGAAATGTCTAACATGGAAATTCAACGAGATGGTTGGGTTTCTGTTCAGGTTTATGTGAATGGGTGTCCAAATTTATATGCAACAGAAAAATGATTAGGGAGGGGAAAGGCAGACAAGCCCACTCGTCTTGGCTACCATGTTACGAATGTGGTGTTTTTCTCATTTTTCTATGAGTGCTCATCACTTTTTTCTTTAAACTCAGGCTTCTCATGGAAGAGCTGGTGAATTTCATTGAAAGAGTGCCCAAGGCTCAGTCTGCCTCCTTGTGGAAGAACAAGGATATTCAGCGGTGAGCAGTAGACCTGTCTGTTCCCCTTGACAGTAGACCCACAGGTTTTGTGAAACAGTACCATTTGTTCCTTGTGTTATGCTTTACACTTTTACTGTTAGAACTCCCTATCTTATGGAAGGGCTATGTTTGATACAACCAATATATTGTAAGAGACCATGTCCAAGGTACTGTACAGGGTCCAAAAGGTTTTTAAAATTAGTAAAACAATTGGCGCTGTCTTTGAGGTGCTCAGGGGTTGATGGGAAGTCAGACCATTGACAGATAAATTACAGCTTTGGATGGCATGTATTGTAAGAGGTGCTCGTCACAGTGCTATAGGCACTCAGAGAATGAAGAACTCTTTGTGTAGGGAAGCTGATGAGGACATCCTTAGGAGGTGGCAGTTAAGGTGGGTCTTGAAGGAAGAAAAGGACTTTCCTGATAGAAAAAGTCGGGAAGTGCGTCCCAGCACAGCATGACAGGATATAGTATATTCGGGGAACAGTGAGAAGTACAGGGTGGATGAGAGTGGGAAAGCAGAGAGGTGAGAAATGAAACTATAGAGGTACATTGGAGCAAGATAATGAAGAATCTGATGTGTGAAGTTTGAGTTTTGTATTATGGAGAGTGGGAAGTCCCTCTGTGGAGGTTTGTAAGGAGGAGAATGTTGTGATCACACATTTGGGGGAAAGTGACTCTAGAAGCAGCACGAAAGATGGGTTGGGTGCAGAGATGGAGGCAAAAGACCAGGTGTAGGACTCTTTCAGAAACCCAGGGGAGAGAACAAAAGCCTGAACGGAGGCAGTAGCAGGGAGCATGAAGAAATTTCTAAGACAGAATGGAGAAGAATTGATATGAATTGTGAAAGAGGCTGTGAAGTCATCCTTAGGAAGATCAGAGGAGAGCTGAGCGGCAGCCCAGGGTAAAAGGGAATTTCCCCACACCTGGCCTTGTCATTTGGTATCAGATGCTGCAGAAATATCATCATGTAAGATGGAGGTAAGACCCTTGGTTAATGGAAGTCCCAGGGAGGTTAGTTTCACTAGAGTGCTAGGATCAAAAACCAGATCGTAAGAGGTGACATAGTAGAAATATAATAGTAGAGGCAAGGAGGCAGCTTGATTCTACTTCCATGCTCATGTTTCAGTAGTAGCGGAGGACCCTAGCCAGTCTGAGCATACTGCGGTTTCTGTGAGCCTACCCTCCATCACGGTGGTCCCAGCCTTCCAGGCCTAGCATCCAGAGTCTGGAGTAAAAACTTGTCATTGGCTTTTTAAGTAGTGGGTGTCCCATGTGTGCCTGCCCAAGTCCACTCTTTTCCAGCCACCTTGCCACTGAGTTCTCTTTCCCTCTAGGTCAGTGATTTGTGAGCTCTCTAGTTATCTAAGCTTTAGAATGCCTTAGTTTTTGTGACTGTTCCTTCCACAAAAATATGTATGTGTAGCTAAGAGAATATGCTTTGTTTTTATACTGTAACTCTTTCAGAGTTTGAGCATATGAGTTTCCTCTGTGTATGTGTTGTTTTATTTAACTTACACTGTGTGCCAGACACTTGTTTTTCTTAATTCACTTAAAGTCTCAGCATTTTACTTAATTTATTTAGTTCTATAACATCATTTTGCAGAAGAGAAAACAGGCACAGATAGGTTAAGTAACTTGCTCAAGGTCAGCCAACTAGTGAGTGGTAGGATTTCATTTAGAACCCAGGCAGTAGGGCTAGCCTGGTTCCAGAGTTTGTGCTTTTAACCATTATGCCGGGCTGCCTTGAGGGCACATGTCACTTTTTGAGTGCATGTGAGCCCCCTCAGGTGAGGAGAGGAGGAAGTATGTGTAACTGTGCTCATTTTTCTCCTCTGTTTTATGGATATTGTTTGGGTCTCGATTTCTGTGATTTAGGGATATGGTGTCTGTATGGCTTCATGGTAGGAAAGACTCACACGTGTGTCTGACTCTTCTGTGTGTACACCCACCTGCCTAAGACCAGATCCCTTTCCCTTCTCATTTTGCATTCTTGTTCTCAGCTTCCTCTCCTCCTGCCCATTCCTATCCCTCCTTCCCCTTTTCTTTCTCTCTCCTGTGTGCCCACTGGAGCACATCAGACCTAGCTGTGTGCATTTCCCGCCTTAGAAATTTTAGGACTTTGTTCTCTTTCCCCATGGAACATGTACACATTGGCCCTTATTTCCTCCTTTTAAATTTATACCCCTTACAGTATTCTTCCACAAATAATTTTGGCACACCAGAAGTGATGTTCAAAGGTCACTGTTTCCTGGCTCCCAAACCCTGGGCCAAGTCTTAGGAAGTCCCATGTCCTTATTTTGCCTTTTCTTCTGTGACCTTGGGCAGAGTCCTTGGCAATTTTCCTTTGCCTCCCATTCTTTGTAAAATACAACGAGATAACTGATTTACAAAAGAAGTGCCATCGTTTATGAGGGAGAAGGGTGAAATGACCTTGAAGGAGCAGAGGATGGGGAAGGCAAGGTTGCAGGGGTAGACTGAAAGTTATTTCCTAAGATGCTTAGGAAATCTCCCTTTTAAAGAAGGGTGCTCCTTGAATTAAAACCTTGAATTCGCTATCTCGCCACCTAGTGGGCAAAAATCTGAAACTGTTGAAAGCTAACTTGGTAAAGGAGCAAGCCGAATAACTTGGACTAGTGGAGAAGACCTCATTTCATTATTTCATATATTGAAACCATATTTCTGATCCTGATCAAGTATTGTGTTTTGGCATCTGAGCACAAGATGAGCCATAGTTATTGATAGAGAAAGAGAAGACTCTTATCGGAAAGAATATGCTGAGTGTTAGAGAAACAAACCTAGCAAGCCATGTCCTCTTTTTCTCCTGGATAAACTCCGCATAAATATTACAAGCGGTAGAGGAATTTGAAGAGCTGTTTTGTAATTGACATCAGACAAAAGAGTTCTTGTGAAATACTCACCTAGAATTTAACCTTGGGCCAGAATACTAAAAGTGCTTCATTTGAATAACATTTATGCTGAAGGCTTTTACATCACTTTAAAATTTCTGTCACGAGCCAGTTCATATCTAGTGTCCCAAAGTACTGTGGCACACTAAATTGAGTGAGAAACACTGTTTTTTGCTGTCTGTTACATTGACATTTTTCCCAAGTGATATGAGCTGTGTCTTCTATTTTTTCATTCCCCCCTTTTCTTCCCCCTTTAATTCCTGTACTCACCTTGTTGAGAGGGGTCTTAAGTAGGGCTCACAAACTCAGATGACTTCAGGGATGGGAAAGGTCAATACAGGAGAAAGGTGGGCCACCTGTAACTGTGGACTAGGGATCACATCCCTCTAAAGGGGCACAACTTCAGCAGATTATGGCCATATGGAAACGTGAGTCTATTGCTGCCAAATCTTCCTTTTCTTTTTCTTTTTTCTTTTTTTAAGAGAAGCCCAAACTCTGGATGTTTTAAATGTGATTTTTTTTTCATCTTTTTAAAATGTTGGCTCACACATGAAGATAAAATCCTGTATGATCCAAGTAAAACACCTCTGAGTTGGATTTGAGACTCAGGCCCCAGTTTTTGACTTAAACTTCACACAGGCGGTCTCTTGGTTAAGTGCCTAGAATTGATGCATTTTGGTAGCTTAAGTTACTTAATAAGACCATGAACTAAAAAAATAAATAAATTAAAACCTTTCAGACTCATTGGTCAAAGGAATCTGACAAATTCTCTTAAATCATTTGAAGTTAGTTTGAGTTAGCGTTTGATTTAGTATTAGGATGTATAGCAAAAGAAGCTATTACTCTTGCTTTTTGGCAGCTGTCTGACTCTCCTGCCTCAGTTGACACCGCTCCTTGAGATTTATTTAGAAGTTAGACATCTTTCTTCCTCATTTTGATGGCCGCAGTTTACTCTTCTTGAAAAAGAGATTTTGAAGGGTAGGAAAAGGAGACTCCCTCTGCAAGATAATTTTTGAGTCTCTGACTTTCCCATACCCACTTCAAGGTTTAGGGTTTTTAACAGGAAAATTTAGAACAGAATATTCCACTTAAGAAACTAAACCAGCAGGTAGGATTTTCCTGTATTAGCCTAGAAGTCTACGGTTATAATTAAGGATAAATCATTACAGGATATTGTCATAACCTTCTTGCAAGCATTAAGGAATTATGCACCGATATATTCCTGGCAGAAATGTTGTGGCAGTTTTCAGTAGTCAGAGCTCAAATATGTGGGTTCATCCCTTATAAAAAACATAAAAGAAGACATGGTTGAAGTTCCTCAGCTCTGATGCTCCAGGGCTAACTATATGGTCGGGAAAAAATTAAAGCTATGGGCTTGGAGATCAAATAGACAGGTGTTTAAATTTCATATCTGCTTCCCAGTAGCTGTAGCAATTTATTTCTTCTAGGCTCTGTTTCTTCATTTATAAAACAAGAATAACATTAGCAGCCTTGCAGTGTTGTGTTGAGGACTAAATAAGTAGCATGAGAGTCCTTCAAACAGTGCAAAGCACATAGTAGGTGCTCTGTAAACACCAGCATCCTTTTCCCCTTTAATGATACCCTTGGCTCACATAACCTCTTTTCCATAATCAGCACACATGTGCCTTCCACAACCTAATTTATCTTTAGATGCTACCTTTCCTGATGAAAGTAAGGTAGTATAAAAGAGGGAAAACCATTTTTCTGATTCCACAGTTGTCTCCTGTTAGTTAACACTGTCATCCAGACGCTGGCACTCAGTCTCCTATTCTGTAAAACAAGAGAATTGAATTAAATTATCTCTAAGTTCACTTAGGTTACAGCTTTTAAAGATGTCCAAGAGAGAGGCTCCTTAAGCCAGTGTTCATGGAGTGGCAGTACTTTGATGAAGTCATCACTGCTTGTCCTTGAGCTTTGCAGTTCCAGAAACTTAATCATTTCATTTCACTCAGAGTTGATTAGCCTCTGAGGGACTGATTCCGGCTAACTAAACTCCCAGGATATTGACTGACAAACAAAAATCCCATTTAATTACTTTGTACTGAGACATCTGCCTGGCTCCCGAACTAA